TGAAGCAAATATTAACACCTCCAGGTAAATTTCTAAGAAATTAATTAAAATTCTAAGAAACCTATTGTTAACTGTAACGCCGGCGTGTCCGCGGTCGTGGAGGCATTAATTTGTATGTATCATATTATGTTAGTAATAAATCTGTTTTGAAACGGGATTTTTTTTTCTTAATTATATATGAGATTATGTACTGCGAGATCGAACTTAAAATTTTTGATCTGAAAACTGTAATTTCTTATATTATAATAATATAATATTTAAAGGTCTCGTCTAATTGTACAATTAGTTTTAATAGTGATGATACTTTGGTATATATATACTTTATAATGGCTAATATGTAGACTTTTTTATGTTTTATCTGTAATAAAATTGTGATTGTTGTAAATGTAAGCAAAGTCAAGCAACGTGATACAGCAAGTAAAAAAGTACAAATGTATGTGCAGAAGTTCGGTCGCTACGGACGGGTGTGTGCGGGGAGGGCGTGCGTGCGTCTCGCTGATCTGTTTGTTGACACATTGTGTATATGATGAATCAAATTATAAGAGAATATGAATTTTATGTGGGAGTTTTATTTGTGTTTATGAGAATTTGTTGTTTTTTTTTTCGTTACAAGCCATTAATTTTATCGAAATAACTATAATTTATACTGTATAGTATTTTAATATAATTATTATCTAATAACTAGCGGCTTCGTCCCTGGGTAGGTACGTTTTAACGGTTAGTATGGAATATATAGATTACATATATAACGTGTTTTCCCGTGGGAAAGAAATGATTTCTCTCGGTAAAAAGTAGCCTATGTCACTCCAACCCCCGCAACTATCTTCACACAAAAAATCACGCCAATCTATCACTCCATTTCGACGTAAAAGAAGGACAAACAAACAAACACACTTTCACATTTGTATTATTAGTATAGATATACTATAAATCGTCATTTAATGAAATTAGTAGGTACGACTTTCTTAAAATTACGAATGTTAACTTCCATTATACCATATTAAATACTCCGGTTCTCGTCCGATCACCGAAGTTAAGCAACATCGGACGCGGTCAGTACTTGGATGGGTGACCGACCGCCTGGGAACATTGCGTGACGTTGGCCCTTTTGTTTATTAATATATGTAAATAAATTAAAAAATAGAAAACTTTTTTAAAAACAAGCTTTTATTTAATTGCGCTAAAAAGTATTAAATAAACTTTTCCTTTAAAACTTTTACTATCAACTTATAACGTCATCATTACACAATTTATAAAGCTTCTCGCGAGTTTTAAGTAGGTACTCGTATTTACTTAGTTTGAAAACTTTAAAAGGTATAGGTATACCTATAGTATTACCTCGGTATGTATACAAGTTTCGTTACCGCTGCTTACCAATGTTATCAATTATACAACATAGATGGTGCTGTTAAGTCTTGAATCGCGCTATTGAAATATTCTAGCAAGTTGAGTATATATACAAAATGAAAACATCAATAATTGTACTCGCTTCGGCAGTACATATACTAAAATTGGAACGATACAGAGAAGATTAGCATGGCCCCTGCGCAAGGATGACACGCAAAATCGTGAAGCGTTCCACATTTTTTGAAGAGTTTCACTAGCATTGGTACAACATTTATTTTAATTTTTAACACAAAACAATGTGGGCCATAATTCTTAAAATGCAGTCGTTGGCTTGACCGATGCATGTCACGAAAGCTATTCGCTATTTTTTTTACAATCGTTACCCAACCTTAGAAAAATAAATATATAGGGAAAAAGGTATGGATTTAGAATGATCTTTGAAAAATTTTTGAAGAGTTTCACTAGCATTGGTACAACATTTATTTTAATTTTTAACACAAAACAATGTGGCCATAATTCTTAAAATGCAGTCGTTGGCTTGACCGATGCATGTCACGAAAGCTATTTGCTATTTTTTTACAATCGTTACCCAACCTTAGAAAAATAAATATATAGGGAAAAAGGTATGGATTTAGAATGATCTTTGAAAAACGCTGTAACAGCAATAGTATCGACTTAACCGATATATTTATCTCTGTTTGGCCTTCACAATCTGCAGGCAATATACCTAAGCGCAGGTCCGTGATACAACGCGGCAAATTGTATGAGCAATAATATTTGACATCATCAAATACACACAATATAGTACCAAAATCTTTAACAATTAAATGATAAATAATATACTTTACACACAAAGGTTTATAAAATACATTGATGAGTTCCGTGTGTGGTCCTAAAGGAACGAAACATTGTAACCGGAAGATGTTTTTAAGAGGAATAATTCTGTAATACATTGTTTTTATATAACTTTACTAGCATTGCCCGCGGCTCCGCCCGCGTTCAGATGACCAAAAACTAAATTCTTAGGTGTTACATATTAGTATACTCTTACATTGCAGTTTTTGTATTTTTCCTCAGAAATAAGATATTTTCCCGCGGTAAAAAGTATCCTAGGATCGCGCGCTACATCGCCCGGTTTATATAGCTTGAGCAGGCGGTCGAGCGATGCGGGGCAGAGGGGATGGACTCGCCGTAGGCATCTCAATGCTCGCCAAGCATTAAAAATGTTTCGCTACTAATTACTTCTAACAACGATATCTCAAAAACTATTCATCTGATTGATTTAGTGTAAAGAGCAATTTTAATCTGCATTAAATGACTAAGCTAACTAAAATATTCATTTGGATAAGGATTAATACCGAACTAAAGAAAATAACTTTGAAAATAACGTAATGTTTTTAATTAAAAATGTTAACATAAAAGTGGTTATTGTAAGTCAACCGTAAGAGATAGAGATATGCTATCGCGGACTTTTTTGTAGCATTTTTATAGATTTTGAATTCTCTAGTACATTACTTAACTGTATCTTTGCTAGTTTACGCGGCGTTCGCGTGGAAAGTTCCCATTTGGCGAGATTTTTTGCGACCTCTTCAACATTTGTCGCCGTATTTCAGCTAATTTACATAAAAGCATAATAAATTATATACCTAAACCTTCCTCAAGAATTACTCTTTCTATTGTTGAAAACCGTATAAAAATCCGTTCAGTAGTTTTCGAGTTTATCGCGTACAGACAGACAGGAGGACAGAAAGACGCGGCCGGGGGACTTATTTTTATAATAAGTATAGATAGATTAGTTTACAATTTACACAAAGCCTTAATGAATTTTACACATAAACCTTCCTCATGAACCTCTCCGTCTATTGTGGAAAATCCCATTTGATAGTGTTTAGAGTTTATCGCGTTCAGACAGACAGACAGACGCGGCGGGGGACTTTATTTTATAATATGATACATATAGATTATTTTCGCTTTTTATGTTGCACAAATAAACATATTATGTAGGTATTTCGATAAAAATACTAATATCAGTTCTTGTGATATTAAGTCTTAAGACTAGTCTTCTTGTACTCATCGGAGTGTATCGGAGCGTAATAATCGTAAATAAATATAAAACAAATTATTTCCAGACTAATTAGTATACATAAAATAGATTAGAATATAAAAAGGCCAACGTCACGCGGTGTTCCCAGGCGGTCACCCATCCAAGTACTGACCGCGCCCGATGTTGCTTAACTTCGGTGATCGGACGAGAACCGGTGTATTCAACGTGGTATGGACGTTGGCGATAGAACATATCAAACAGTCGTGTAATTAAAATCACCGTGAGTTTCAGTGAAAACAAAAAATAAACTCGAAAAACAAAAAACCAACGTCACGCGGTGTTCCCAGGCGGTCACCCATCCAAGTACTAACCGCGCCCGATGTTGCTTAACTTCGGTGATCGGACGAGAACCGGTGTATTCAACGTGGTATGGACGTTGGCGATAGAACATATAAAACGGTCGTGTACTTAAAATCACCGTGAGTTTTAGTGAAAACAAAAAAAATAAACTGGAAAAACAAAAAGCCAACGTCACGGGGTGTTCCCAGGCGGTCACCCATCCAAGTACTAACAGCGCCCGATGTTGCTTAACTTCGGTGATCGGACGAGAACCGGTGTATTCAACGTGGTATGGACGTTGGCGATAGAACATATCAAACGGTCGTGTAGTTAAAATCACCGTGAGTTTTAGTGAAAACAAAAAAAATAAACTCGAAAAACAAAAAGCCAACGTCACGCGGTGTTCCCAGGCGGTCACCCATCCAAGTACTAACCGCGCCCGATGTTGCTTAACTTCGGTGATCGGACGAGAACCGGTGTATTCAACGTGGTATGGACGTTGGCAACTAAATGTTTCAAAATGTTGTATATATACTAATTTGTATCAATTAAGTTTACAGACTAACCATACAAAGTAAACATCTTGTATTATATGCTAACTTCAGGAATTCTGGGTAAAACTCCACGTATCTCTCGTATTTTTCTTGCCTAAATAAAACATAGATGTCGATCATCTAAAAATGGCAATAGGAACTATTTACTACTACTAAATTGTTTTAAAGTCAGTAAAATATAACAGAAAACAAAATAAATATATAAGTAGTTTGCTTGGTGATCATATTAACTAATCATTAATATAGGTAATTATGGATATTACATTTATACATTTACTTATTTATTATTATTGCTTTAGGCACTTACAGTATTTGTTAGACTGTTTTTGCATTTGTAAATTTTACATAAAAATCTTTATAGCCGTTTAGCGAAAATCCGAATTATACTGTGTTGAATTAGAATATGCCAACATCGATACGAACATACTTATAAACTACTGAACATATCAGTATGGGACTTTGACCAATCACCGCAAGTTCATCTATAGATGTTTAAAGCCTATTTGTTTTTGAATTTCATACACTTCTTTTTATTTAACCTAAATATTTAATTTAAGTGAAAACCCGAAATATACATAAAGGTCTCTGAAGACCAAGAGAAACATTTACATACATCCAACAAAGCAGGCAGGTAGTGGCTAGTTATTTATAAAAAAAACAAATATAAACAAGTTATTTTCTATTTATTCTAAATCAATTTAACAATAACATAACTAAATATATTTGAACACAACATCTTTAAAACTATCCACAGTTTGTAGTTCTAATGTTACAGGGCATTGTATCCAGGTTGATAGAAGTTCCTCTGTGTAACCAATAAGGAAATACATTTTTGTGGGTGACACAGCTCTTCTTATAATGGCTGCTATACGGATGTGATTGAATTGCCGTTTTATTATGACCTGGAAGTTGAAAAAGGAAGCTTATTCCTGTAGATTACATCAATGATTGTTTACACAAAGTTTTTTTTAAATTTTACAAACATAAAAAAATATCAGAAAATGTTAGTGCAACGATTCACCCTCACTCTGCAAGGGTTCGTCCTTAGTATTTCGTTTTAACATTTAGTATAGATTTCTCAGAGATGAGATATTTTACCGCAGTAAAAAATATTCTATGTTGACCTGGATAACCAGCTATCATCATATGAAATTTTATGAATAACATTAAAATCGGTCAAGTGGTTTCCTCGTGATGCTTTTCTAGACAGACATACAAAAATTGTAAAAACTATAGATTCAGCCTCTGTATTCATAATAATGACTATTTCAATATAATTTTTCATAAAATGTTTAATGTACAGATTCAGCTCAGACTATTATTATATTTATAGATAAAAGATAGATTAACATACCTCACTACAGACAAGACCATGCCACGTGCCAGTCATGAACCTTCTTATAAACTCATCCTCAACTGCTGTTTCAGACCTCCGAAGACCACCTTTTAAATTTTTTGGGCTCAGTCATAAAAATAATAACTAGTAATCTGGATCATGATGACGTGGTTAAGTACGATGAACTTATCTATAATTTAAATCATAACCAAATTATTATTTCAAAGAAACTGACAATAGTCTCTAAAATGTTTGATAGTTTCATTAATGTAACTGACACAATGAACCAGAACTCTGTTCACTTTTATAATTGTTTATATCATTTAAATTTAATTTTAATTCTGTAAGCTTGGTATATATCCACCAACAAAAACAAATTTAATAAAAAAATAGAGGATAGCGTTTGAATAAAATCATATATTAAAGACAATCAGATAAAATTTATACTGGAAATACCAATTACAGATAACTCAACGTATAATTATTTTGAGATATATTCATTAGCAATTTTTCATGAACCTGAAAACAAAACTCTAGCCATTATTCCTAAATATCCTTACCTTTTGGCGAACTGATAAAATTACTTACCACTTGTAAAATCATGTCGTTCATTGTCGACCAGCGATCAATTCCTATGCACTGCAGACAATCGAGCTTTGTATTATGTATCTGTATAGAACAGCTCCTGACGACCTGACTCCCATAAGCAGCATCAGGTCCAAATCGAAGAGGTTAAGATTCAGCAAGTCAATTCAGATGGCTGGCTCCTCTACAGTACAAAACACTGACCAAGCAACGCGGCCATGAGGTCAGTAAGCAATTTCTATTCGGCACTTACCTGATGACTATCGATGAACCCTGTGACCTGGAAATTTATGGAGTTCGCTTCCACCATAGAACTCTAATAGAATCAAATGTCATTAAGAAGATTCCAATTTTTACACTACCTCAATTTAGAACGGATATGACTCTATCTAGCGCAAATGTACTCAACATGAAAAGAATTAGTTTTGATAAAGTGAAATATTAGGCATTTTCCTTGAAACATAGTGCGGTAATTGAAAGTGTTTTAAATAATAAGAAAGACAATAAAATCAGTGAAATTTTAGATTACGTAACATTTGTTTTAATAGTTTTAAGTTTTTTTATCTTAATATTTTATATACATAATTTGGCTAAAATCGCCAATATGTTTATCATATAAGCAAAATTATCGGAAAAAATCTCAAATCGATCCCTCCGATAATTTTCCTCTTAGGGATGGAGGAGTTATTGTTACACCTCGTCCATCCGCTTTAGATTAAGATTTATATAGAATAAGAGAGACGCAAACTCAGCGTCTAGTCGGCCCACCCGGCATCCGCCGGCCGAGTATGTATTTAGACATTAAAGGAGCCTCAAATCGGCTACATGTGTCTCATTTGGTTTTTTTTTATTAATTTAATTTAAATTAGTATAAATAGTTTTCGAAACGCTCCGAAACCAAAAGTAGGTAGGTACTCGTATTTACTTAGTTTGAAAACTTTAAAAGTATACCTATAGTATTACCTAGATATGTATACAAGTTTCGTTACCGCTGCTTACCAATGTTATCCATTATACAACATAGATGGCGCTGTTAAGTCTTGAATCGCGCTATTGAAATATTCTAGCAAGTTGAGTATATAAACAAAATGAAAACATCAGTAGTTGTACTCGCTTCGGCAGTACATATACTAAAATTGGAACGATACAGAGAAGATTAGCATGGCCCCTGCGCAAGGATGACACGCAAAATCGTGAAGCGTTCCACATTTTTTGAAGAGTTTCACTAGCATTGGTACAACATTTATTTTAATTTTTAACACAAAACAATGTGGGCCATAATTCTTAAAATGCAGTCGTTGGCTTGACCGATGCATGTCACGAAAGCTATTCGCTATTTTTTTACAATCGTTACCCAACCTTTTTTTTTTTTTGTTATCGCTGGGGAAACCCATCATGGGGACCCTACCGGCCGTCAATGGGTAGGGTACTGTGAGACTCCTACTCACTAAAACCCACAGCGGAACCCGTCGCCGCAGTGCAATGGGGTGTGCAGGATCGCTTGCGCATTCACTGCAACATCGTTACCCAACCTTAGAAAAATAAATATATAGGGAAAAAGGTATGGATTTAGAATGATCTTTGAAAAACGCTGTAACAGCAATAGTATCGACTTAACTGATATATTTATCTCTGTTTGGCCTTCACAATCTGCAGGCAATATACCTAAGCGCAGGTCCGTGATACAACGCGGCAAATTGTATGAGCAATAATATTTGAAATCATCAAATACACACAATATAGTACCAAAATCTTTAACAATTAAATTATAAATAATATACTTTACACACAAAGGTTTATAAAATACATTGATGAGTTCCGTATGTGGTCCTAAACGAACGAAACATTATAACCGGAAGATGTTTTTAAGAGGAATAATTCTGTAATACATTGTTTTTATATAACTTTATTAGTTTACAATTTACACAAAGCCTTAATGAATTTTACACATAAACCTTTCTCATGAACTTCGCCGTCTATTGTGGAAAATCCCATTTGATAGTGTTTGAGTTTATCGCGTTCAGACAGACAGACAGACGCGGCGGGGGACTTTATTTTATAATATGATACATATAGATTATTTTCGCTTTTTATGTTGCACAAATAAATATATTATGTAGGTACTTCGATAAAAATACTAATATAGCAGTTTTTTTTTTTTGTGATATTAAGTCTTAAGACTAGTCTTCTTGTACTCATCGGAGTGTATCGGAGCGTATTAATCGTAATAAAATATAAAACAAATTATTTCAAGACTAATTAGTATACATAAAATAGATTAGAATATAAAAAGGCCAACGTCACGCGGTGTTCCCAGGCGGTCACCCATCCAAGTACTGACCGCGCCCGATGTTGCTTAACTTCGGTGATCGGACGAGAACCGGTGTATTCAACGTGGTATGGACGTTGGCGATAGAACATATCAAACAGTTGTCTTCTTAGGAATCACCGTGTGTTTCAGAGAAAACAAAAAAATAAACTCAAAAAACAAAAAGCCAACGTCACGCGGTGTTCCCAGGCGGTCACCCATCCAAGTACTAACCGCGCCCGATGTTGCTTAACTTCGGTGATCGGACGAGAACCGGTGTATTCAACGTGGTATGGACGTTGGCGATAGAACATATCAAACAGTTGTCTTCTTAGGAATCACCGTGTGTTTCAGAGAAAACAAAAAAATAAACTCAAAAAACAAAAAGCCAACGTCACGCGGTGTTCCCAGGCGGTCACCCATCCAAGTACTAACCGCGCCCGATGTTGCTTAACTTCGGTGATCGGACGAGAACCGGTGTATTCAACGTGGTATGGACGTTGGCAACCTAATGTTTCAAAATGTTGTATACAGTGTGTTAAAAAAACCCTGTCCGATCCGTGAAGGTATTATTAGGTATCGCGATTCGATTCTATTTATGTAAAAAAAAACAGATTCCAAGTAAAAAAAAATTACCCCGCTTAAAAATTTAAAATATTTCATACATTGTGAAACTTACATAGCAATACTGGTGACGTCATAAGGTCATGAACGCAGTTGACCTCAAAGTTCAAACTACGCTTATCAATTTGTATTTTGTAAGTAGGTAGTCTGTTATTCGATGAGGACGCCAATGCGATGGCTGTGATGGAGATGTTCCATGTGACGGCCTCTACTAGTGATACAGGCTTGACACCGTCGCAAAAGGTTATCACGGATTATGGGCGTAAGGATTTAGCGTCGACCACACATATTCATTCCGGCTGTTAAAGACGCCTGTTCTATGAAAAGAACATTCATTGGTGAAAATAACCCTTTTTAAAAATTCAGCGTCCTCTTCAATTTTCCTTAAAATCCATGCACAATATTCCACTCTGGGTTCATCACTGGGTAGTAAAGCTTGGACAGGACGGTAGTGGAAAGGATGCTGGACATCTTCTTTTAACACTTCCCACACCTGAACGTGGTAAGCGCCCAGTTGTCGTGCCACAGAACGAGTACTTCGGGTGGGGTCCTCATTGAATAACACAAGCACTTGCTCTTCAATATCCATGTCGATACGCGGTGTCCTTGTATCAGCATGATGCGTTTCGTAGCCGTGAACACTGCTCGTGGTGTACATACGATTGTGAAGACGTTGAACCGCACGCTCTGACGGCACCATGGTACCCCGCGGAACTGCGAAACGCACTTCATAGTCTCTATGAGCCTCTGCATAATTGCAGTCACTCCTCCCCAAACACATTATCATATTACAGAACTCTTCATTCGTATACGACATAGTTAAAACTCAATTTCTCCAACACGTGCACTCGGATGCAATGTTTCGCGAAACTGACATAATTTTAAGTGAAATAAATAATAAAGCAAACAAATAGTGATCGTAAGTATGTAATTCAAGGTCGGGATAGCCTCTACACGTGCCGAGCGGTACCTTTGACAACGGGCGGCGCATCGTCTGTCGGCACACATCAAAGATGCTGCCGCCACATGATTATAATACCGCCGAAATTAGTGTTGTACATTTATAAAATTTCCTAGAATTGTGGGGAAATTAGCAAAATAAATGAACTTTTTAAATTTCATTAATATGTTTACTATCATGAATATTTTATATTTCTTATTTTATTTGGTCATGTGATTGGGATACCTATACACTGGTTTCCGATCGGACAGGGTTTTTTTAACACACTGTATATGCTAACTTCAGGAATTCTGGGTAAAACTCCACATATCTCTCGTATTTTTCTTGCCTAAATAAAACATAGATGTCGATCATCTAAAAATGGCAATATGAACTATTTACTACTACTAAATTGTTTTTAAAGTCAGTAAAATATAACAGAAAACAAAACAAAATAAATATAAGTAGGTTGCTTAGTGATCATATTAACTAATTATCAATATAATTATGGATATTACATTTATACATTTCTTATAATTGCTTTAGGCACTTACAGTATTTGTTAGACTGTTTTTGCATTTGTAAATTTTACATAAAAATCTTTATAGCCGTTTAGCGAAAATCCGAATTATACTGTGTTGAATTAGAATATGCCAACATCGATACGAACATACTTATAAACTACTGAACATATCAGTATGGGACTTTGACCAATCACCGCAAGTTCATCTATAGATGTTTAAAGCCTATTTGTTTTTGAATTTCATACACTTCTTTTTATTTAACCTAAATATTTAATTTAAGTGAAAACCCGAAATATACATAAAGGTCTCTGAAGACCAAGAGAAACATTTACATACACCCAACAAAGCAGGCAGGTAGTGGCTAGTTATTTATAAAAAAAACAAATATAAACAAGTTATTTTCTATTTATTCTAAATCAATTTAACAATAACATAACTAAATATATTTGAACACAACATCTTTAAAACTATCCACAGTTTGTAGTTCTAATGTTACAGGGAATTGTATCCAGGTTGATAGAAGTTCCTCTGTGTAACCAATAAGGAAATACATTTTTGTGGGTGACACAGCTCTTCTTATAATGGCTGCTATACGGATGTGATTGAATTGCCGTTTTATTATGACCTGGAAGTTGAAAAAGAAAGCTTATTCCTGTAGATTACAGCAATGATTGTTAAACAAAGTTTTTTTTAAATTTACAAACATAAAAAAATATCAGAAAATGTTAGTGCAACGATTCACCCTCACTCTGCAAGGGTTCGTCCTTAGTATTTCGTTTTTACATTTAGTATAGATTTCTCAGAGATGAGATATTTTACCGCAGTAAAAAATATTCTATGTTGACCTGGATAACCAGCTATCATCATATGAAATTTTATGAATAACATTAAAATCGGTCAAGTGGTTTCCTCGTGATGATTTTCCAGACAGACAAAAATTGTAAAAACTATAGATTCAGCCTCTGTATTCATAATAGTGACTATTTCAATATAATTTTTCATAAAATGTTTAATGTACAGATTCAGCTCAGACTATTATTATATTTATAGATAAAAGATAGATTAACATACCTCACTACAGACAAGACCATGCCACGTGCCAGTCATGAACCTTCTTATAAACTCATCCTCAACTGCTGTTTCAGGCCTCCGAAGACCATCTTTTAAATTTTTTGGGCTCAGTCATAAAAATAATAACTAGTAATCTGGATCATGATGACGTGGTTAAGTACGATGAACTTATCTATAATTTAAATCATAACCAAATTATTATTTCAAAGAAACTGACAATAGTCTCTAAAATTTTTGATAGTTTCATTAATGTAACTGACACAATGAACCAGAACTCTGTTCACTTTTATAATTGTTTATATCATTTAAATTTAATTTTAATTCTGTAAGCTTGGTATATATCCACCAACAGAAACAAATTTAATAAAAAAATAGAGGATAGCGTTTGAATAAAATCATATATTAAAGACAATCAGATAAAATTTATACTGGAAATACCAATTACAGATAACTCAACGTATAATTATTTTGAGATATATTCATTAGCAATTTTTCATGAACCTGAAAACAAAACTCTAGCCATTATTCCTAAATATCCTTACCTTTTGGCGAACTGATAAAATTACTTACCACTTGTAAAATCATGTCGTTCATTGTCGACCAGCGATCAATTCCTATGCACTGCAGACAATCGAGCTTTGTATTATGTATCTGTATAGAACAGCTCCTGACGACCTGACTCCCATAAGCAGCATCAGGTCCAAATCGAAGAGGTTAAGATTCAGCAAGTCAATTCAGATGGCTGGCTCCTCTACAGTACAAAACACTGACCAAGCAACGCGGCCATGAGGTCAGTAAGCAATTTCTATTCGGCACTTACCTGATGACTATCGATGAACCCTGTGACCTGGAAATTTATGGAGTTCGCTTCCACCATAGAACTCTAATAGAATCAAATGTCATTAAGAAGATTCCAATTTTTACACTACCTCAATTTAGAACGGATATGACTCTATCTAGCGCAAATGTACTCAACATGAAAAGAATTAGTTTTGATAAAGTGAAATATTAGGCATTTTCCTTGAAACATAGTGCGGTAATTGAAAGTGTTTTAAATAATAAGAAAGACAATAAAATCAGTGAAATTTTAGATTACGTAACATTTGTTTTAATAGTTTTAAGTTTTTTTATCTTAATATTTTATATACATAATTTGGCTAAAATCGCCAATATGTTTATCATATAAGCAAAATTATCGGAAAAAATCTCAAATCGATCCCTCCGATAATTTTCCTCTTAGGGATGGAGGAGTTATTGTTACACCTCGTCCATCCGCTTTAGATTAAGATTTATATAGAATAAGAGAGACGCAAACTCAGCGTCTAGTCGGCCCACCCGGCATCCGCCGGCCGAGTATGTATTTAGACATTAAAGGAGCCTCAAATCGGCTACATGTGTCTCATTTGGTTTTTTTTTATTAATTTAATTTAAATTAGTATAAATAGTTTTCGAAACGCTCCGAAACCAAAAGTAGGTAGGTACTCGTATTTACTTAGTTTGAAAACTTTAAAAGTATACCTATAGTATTACCTAGATATGTATACAAGTTTCGTTACCGCTGCTTACCAATGTTATCCATTATACAACATAGATGGCGCTGTTAAGTCTTGAATCGCGCTATTGAAATATTCTAGCAAGTTGAGTATATATACAAAATGAAAACATCAATAATTGTACTCGCTTCGGCAGTACATATACTAAAATTGGAACGATACAGAGAAGATTAGCATGGCCCCTGCGCAAGGATGACACGCAAAATCGTGAAGCGTTCCACATTTTTTGAAGAGTTTCACTAGCATTGGTACAACATTTATTTTAATTTTTAACACAAAACAATGTGGGCCATAATTCTTAAAATGCAGTCGTTGGCTTGACCGATGCATGTCACGAAAGCTATTCGCTATTTTTTTTACAATCGTTACCCAACCTTAGAAAAATAAATATATAGGGAAAAAGGTATGGATTTAGAATGATCTTTGAAAAACGCTGTAACAGCAATAGTATCGACTTAACCGATATATTTATCTCTGTTTGGCCTTCACAATCTGCAGGCAATATACCTAAGCGCAGGTCCGTGATACAACGCGGCAAATTGTATGAGCAATAATATTTGAAATCATCAAATACACACAATACAGTACCAAAATCTTTAACAATTAAATTATAAATAATATACTTTACACACAAAGGTTTATAAAATACATTGATGAGTTCCGTATGTGGTCCTAAAGGAACGAAACATTGTAACAGGAAGATGTTTTTAAGAGGAATAATTCTGTAATACATTGTTTTTATATAACTTTATTAGTTTACAATTTACACAAAGCCTTAATGAATTTTACACGTAAACCTTCCTCATGAACCTCTCCGTCTATTGTGGAAAATCCCATTTGATAGTGTTTGAGATTATCGCGTTCAGACAAACAGACAGACGCGGTGGGGGACTTTATAATATGATACATATAGATTATTTTCGCTTTTTATGTTGCACAAATAAACATATTAGGTTGGTATTTGGATAAAAATACTAATATAGCAGTTCTTGTGATATTAAGTCTTAAGACTAGTCTTCTTGTACTCATCGGAGTGTATCGGAGCGTATTAATCGTAAATAAATATAAAACAAATTATTTCAAGACTAATTAGTATACATAAAATAGATTAGAATATAAAAAGGCCAACGTCACGCGGTGTTCCCAGGCGGTCACCCATCCAAGTACTGACCGCGCCCGATGTTGCTTAACTTCGGTGATCGGACGAGAACCGGTGTATTCAACATGGTATGGACGTTGGCGACAGAACATATCAGTCGTGTAATTAAAATCACCGTGAGTTTTAGTGAAAACAAAAAAAATAAACTCGAAAAACAAAAAGCCAACGTCACGCGGTGTTCCCAGGCGGTCACCCATCCAAGTACTAACCGCGCCCGATGTTGCTTAACTTCGGTGATCGGACGAGAACCGGTGTATTCAACGTGGTATGGACGTTGGCGATAGTACATATCAAACAGTCGTGTACTTAAAATCACCGTGAGTTTCAGTGAAAACAAAAAAATTTAATGTGGCACTCGGAGACTGCCGCGGTAAAGCTATTGCATGGATTTTTTATCAACTTATGCAATTATAATTATTTATTTATTTTATTAGTATTTCACGCCATCTAGTTCCATGGTAAGCTACGAGGCCTGTGTTATGGATACCAGATAGTTGATACACTACACATATATAACTTTAAATACATACATATTATAAATATAAACACCCATGACTGGAGTACAAACATTCGACAACACACAAATGAATGCCCCCAGCGGGACTCGAACCCGCGACCGCTGGCACAGAAAATAGGGTCACTACAAACTGAGCCAAGCGTGTCGTCAAACGTGACTTAAAACAAATATCAAACTACTATTTTGTTTTGTTGCGCCATCTAGTGACCATATTCTATAGCTGTAAATAAAAGTAGCGTAAGACAGCTAGTTCGTAGTTTTTATACAAATGGCACTAGCTCATAAAAAAAATAAACTTTCTCACAAACAGCTGATTACGGTAGTTTTCCAATACAACCAATGCCACCTAAAGGCGGGTTGCTGAACTAAAGAGACAACCGTGATATTTCAAAAAGTCATTAAAAGTTCTGGTATTTATCGATAATTGGAAAAACTAAAAAGTATCACCGCTGCGCCGGTCGGAGTGGGGGGTGTCAGGTTTTATTCGTTACGGAATTTCTGGATTCGGTCCCCACGCTCAAGGCCCGCGATAGAAGCTATGCAATAGCTTAAAAAATAAACTCGAAAAACAAAAAGCCAACGTCACGCGGTGTTCCCAGGCGGTCACCCATCCAAGTACTAACCGCGCCCGATGTTGCTTAACTTCGGTGATCGGACGAGAACCGGTGTATTCAACGTGGTATGGACGTTGGCTACATAATGTTTCAAAATGTTATATATATACTAATTTGTATCAATTAAGTTCACAGACTAACCATGGAAAGTAAACATCTTGTATTATATGCTAACTTCAGGATTCTGGGTAAAACTGGATCCATGTTGTAACTTTGGATCACAAACTCTACGTATCTCTCGTATTTTTCTTGCCTAAATAAAACATAGATGTCGATCATCTAAAAATGGCAATAGGAACTTTTTACTACTACTAAACTGTTTTTAAAGTCAGTAAAATATAACAGAAAACAAAACAAAATAAATTTAAGTAGTTTAGTTGGTGATCATATTAATTAATCATTAATATAATTATGGGAATTACATTTAAAGATGCATATTTATTTATTATTATTGCTTGAGGCACTGCAGTATTTGTTAAAAACTGTTTTTGCATTTGTAAATTTTACATAAACATCTGTATAGCCGTATAGCGAAAATCCGAATTTTACTGCGTTGCATTAGAACATGCCAACATCGATACAATCATACCTAAAAACTACTGAACGTTTCAGTACGGGATTTTGACCAATTGACGTAGGTTCGTTCGTCTGTAGATGGTTTAAGCCTATTTGTTTTTTGTATTTCATACATTTCTTTTTATTTAACCTAAATATTTAATTTAAAAGTGAAGACCCTATATATACATGAAGATCTCTGAAGACCAAAAGAAACATTTACATACACCCAACAAAGCGGGCAAGTAGTGGCTAGTTATTTATAAAAAAAAACAAATATAAACAATTCCCTATACCTCTATTTATTCTAAATCAATTTAACAATAATATAACTAAATATATTTGAACACAACATCTTTAAAACTATCCACAGTTTGTAGTTCTAATGTTACAGGGCATTGTATCCAGGTTGATAGAAGTTCCTCTGTGTAACCAATAAGGAAATACATTTTTGTGGGTGACACAGCTCTTCTTATAATGGCTGCTATACGGATGTGATTGAATTGCCGTTTTATTATGACCTGGAAGTTGATAAAGGAAGCTTATTCCTGTAGATTACATCAATGATTGTTTACACAAAGTTTTTTTTAAATTTTACAAACATAAAAAAATATCAAAAAATGTTAGTGCAACGATTCACCCTCACTCTGCAAGGGTTCGTCCTTAGTATTTCGTTTTAACATTTAGTATAGATTTCTCAGAGATGAGATATTTTACCGCAGTAAAAAATTATTCTATGTTGACCTGGATAACCAGCTATCATCATATGAAATTTTATGAATAACATTAAAATCGGTCAAGTGGTTTCCTCGTGATGCTTTTCCAGACAGACAGACAAAAATTGTAAAAACTATAGATTCAGCCTCTGTATTCATAATAATGACTATTTCAATATAATTGTCCAAAAAATATTTAATGTACAGATTCAGCTCAGCTATTATTATATGTATAGATAAAAGATAGATTAACATACCTCACTACAGACAAGACCATGCCACGTGCCAGTCATGAACCTTCTTATAAACTCATCCTCAACTGCTGTTTCAGACCTTCGTAGACCATCTTTTAAATTTGCTGTAAAGGCAAGTATGTTGTAGTTAATTTAAAAAAAAGTTTGTATTTAATTTTAATGGAAGTAGGTTTATTAGCTTTTTATGTTACAAGTTATATATTGACTGCAAAGTAACATTTACTATTTCTAGTACCTACACAATATACTAACAAAAAAGATACCTAACTTCATATTATGCATTATTCAAGAACTTTTAACACTATGCCTACAAAAAACAAAAAACTAAAAAGTAGTTTACTCAACGCTATTAGACATTTTGTTCAATAACACATTGTTTTAAATATCCATTAGTATTAAATATTTACCTGTGTTCCATGAGTTCCAAGTCTTTCTATGAGCAATGAAGTGAGGTGGATTCGCCATTTCATAAGTCAATGGTCTATCTCTCTTTTTAGTGATCCTGTATTTTCCGGAAACCACTCTGCATAAGGCTGACGATGTATGAAATTGTGAGGCCAATATCGGCGACCATTGCGACAGAACATTTGAAGACTGTAAATAAATTTAGTCCCATTTTTGTTATTTCTTTCGTTATTTAAGTAATGTAAAAATACCTGATATAAAAAAGTAAGGTTATATTAAATATTCAATTTTAGTACCTGAGCTAATTTGATGATAGATGTATTTAACATCTTTTTTTTTTATTTATTTCGATTTTTAAGGAATATCAATATGTATTAGAGAATTCTGAATTACAATTTTAGCACAATTTAAAAATAAATATGTCAATATTTGAGTGACAATTGGTTACTGTCATAAGTCATTCTTCTGGTTTTGACAGTTGCTTGTATATTGCGTACAGAAATTCTCAACAAGACAATACTTTTTACAATTAAATGATAACCATTCTTATTCAATTCTATTATTTATTAATACGTTTCTATGAATGATAGATAATTATTATTATTTTCCATTTAATTTAAAAGTTATTGTTAGATGTACGATTTTACGCTATATACCTTGCGGAGTAACCAAAGAAAACATACGAAGTAATCAAAACATTTTATTAGTGGTACTTTATATGTAAGATCAGTAAAATATTATATTGTATGTAGGATATATGATAGGTAGTAAGAGATGATTCAGAAATTATATGATACAGTTATATGATACATTTACAGGCATTTCTTTATGCAAATTAACATTCTTTTCAATATCCTTACTAATATTATAAATGTGAAAGTGTGTTTGTTTGTTTGTTTGTTTGTTTGTTTGTTTGTCTGTCTCTATTTCGTTTGTTGGAGGGCTAGAGAGTGACATAAGCTACTTTTTACAGCAGGAGATTATCTCTTTCCTACGGGAAAACACGGTATAATACAATTCAAAAAAATATTTATGATCAGAATTACTTGAAACTTAGTATAAATGCTCTTCAATTCAATTAAATAAATACGTGTTTTAGCATTTTTCGAAATTCATCCTATAAAGGGGTAAAATAGCGGATGAAAGTTTGTATGATACTTCACATTTTAGAGTTTTCTTTTGTAGTTTTAACGCGAGCGGAGCCACGGGTTCTGCTAGTAATGCATAATTGTAGTAAAATCGAAGTTAAGTCGTTTTGAAATAACGTCATGAAATACAACTAAAGTTTAATAATACTATTTCGTGCATTGACTTTATCGATCTTAAAAAAACTATTTGGTTTTTAGATAATGTATGTATGAGTCACACCTCCACTTATTTGCTTGATCAATAATATCAAATGTAATCTTTTTTAACATAGTTTATTTTATTAACCACAGAACAAATGTTTATCTAGATTACATACGGATAAACTTGTATTTATTCATTTGAAGTACATACATTAGAAATATATACTTAAAAACCAATTATTTCGTTTATATCAATAATTTTACACTCATTTACCGTTGTATTAAGTAGCTAATTAATATTGGAACTATAACTGTAAAACACTGTTAATCTTTAATCGTAAAATGCAAATAATGTCGTGGTGGCTTATTTATGGAATTTTATTAATTTATGTAGTATTGGAGACAAGAAGTATACACATAGTTTATATTTAAGTTACCTATTTTTTTATTTTAAATATTTTCTTATCTTTTTTTATTTTCTAGGTCAATCTGACTTTGCAGACCTTAATATGCCAATATCTCAACAAAAAAGTTCCAACATATCTAGCAAAGTTAATAAAATTGCACAAGACATTTTAGCTAATTCATCTCCAAGTAATAGAGAATTTGTTATAAAATCTGTTGAGAAAAAATTACTAAAAGCAGCTGAACATTTAGGTGAAAGAGGTAAAACTCATGTCCAACTAATTTTAGAAGGAATTAAATTAAAAATCTCAAATTTCACAAAACAAAGATCTTTATCAAACAGTCTATCAATAAAAAATAAAGATATTACTTCTCATAACAATAATGATGACCAAATTATGAATACGCAAGTAGCAGACGATTTGTCAAATAAAATAGAAAAACTTATTAAAACTGAATTAGATAAGCTACTAACTGTAGAAAGTAAACAGAAACTTTTAGATAATATTAAACGTCGAGTATTAGAAGCTGTTGAAGAAAAATTAAATTTAGTTCGTGATGTAAAACCAAATAGTGACACAAAAGGAAAAGGATTACTTGAATATACCGATAAAGTCGAAACTGATGACTCTAAACATGATATTAAAATAATTGACCAAATCCAAAGCAATGCATATTTTACTGAGAATGATTTAGGAAGTACTCGTACTCTTGAAAGATTTACTGCAGCTCCTATATGCAATAATGTATATGAAAAAGTTTGCTCCGATATAAAAGATATGAATAGATTAAAATGTATTTATGATGAAGTGTTTGTGTCATTAGACAAGCTGTGTGATGGTCATAATGATTGTGCCGATAGATCTGATGAAAAATATTGTGGCTCACAAGGTAATATGATATTTTAATATAAAATAATATCATCTTCAATTCTAGCTGACCATAATAGTAAATGTTAGATATTTTGTTTTAATTTAAGGTATATATAGAACTGATCTTGTTTCCTTTGCAGCTATGGAAAGAATGGAATTTTCAAATAAAGTAATAAATAACATGGAACATTTACTTGCAAACAACTGTTTTAATATAGATAAGTCATCTTTGGCAAAACGTACTCATATACTTAGAGATGTACTACAATCCCAAATTGATTTTAAGGAAAAATATTTAAATTTTTCTTCACATATGAATAAGCTTTCCGTAAAGAAAGAATCCGACAGTATAACAAGTATTAATCGTAAAGCATATGAAATTGCAATTATTATAAGCTCCCTTGCTTACGCTTTAGAGAGTGCATTCTGTTCTCAAAGATCAAACGACAATGAATCAAGACGTAAAAATATATTCGAAAAAGGTCTGGAGGAGATGATAGAAGAAGTAACTTGGCCACCAAAGTGTGTTTGTATTAGAGAGCATTGTCATAATTGTACGGACGCTTGCAAGCGTATCTGTTGGCACACGTACAGTCTAACTAAATGGAAATGTGAATCTATAAATGGCACTGGTGCCATATCCTTGAACTCACTATGTGATGGTAAATTGGATTGTTTTGATGAAAGCGATGAAAATGGTTGTGATACAGGTAGGTTTATACTTTGAAATTGAATTTTGAATTATTACAACATGTTTTGAAATTTCAAATTTTTATAAAAGAAATTTTAAGATACTTTAAATAAATGTTTTTTTTGTGTGTTTTCATATTGCATGTTAAGTTTTTGACAATTTTCATTTTTAATATTAAATACATAGCATCCGGATACACAAAATTTGAAGCACATGAAATATACAGTAATGTACTGAAAATGGTAAATTTGAAAGCCTCTAAGGAACGTTCTTCAACGGTAAAGAAGTTAAATTTATTGCGAAATTTGATAATAAAATTACAGAAGCTTACAACTAAAACTGAACCAAATAAAACAGCTATTAGGAAACTTCGAAACAAGTGCTATTCTCTTTTAAAGACGATATACTTAGATATATTAAGTCAGTCATCAGCAGCCAGTGAACTTGGAGAAGCATATTTATTCTTGATAGCTATAAACCAAAACTTAGTATCTGCATTAAAGAGATCGGATACAGGCAATAAAAGACTTATAACCGATGAATGTTACTGCAGAAATGGTAGCTGTGGTATACCTTTCTGTTCAAAAAGTTGTATAAAATCCTGTGCTGTTGAACCCAAATTGATGAAATATGATTGTAAAAGAAGTTCGAATAAAACAGTAACTCTTGACAAGATTTGTGACGGTAAAATTGATTGTGATAGTGGATATGATGAATACAATTGCAAAATAGGCAAGCAGATTATACTTTCTTAGATGAACGCGAATGTTTGACATTGTTAAGTAAAACTATCTTTTCGGATTATTTCGCGGATTTATTTTGATTTTTGGTTCCCGACGTTTCGAATGCTTTACAGCATCCATGGTCACGGGAGAGACTGAGGTGTTACATGTCTTGAAGGTATAGTTGTTACAGACAGCCTACAGACAGACCACCAAAAATCAAAATAAATCCGCGAAATAATCCGAAAAGATAGTTTTATTTAGGCAAGCAGATTTTTAACTTTTTTATTTTGCTTTTTGCTTATTATTTTCAAGTAATAGTTTACTACTGTTTAAATATTAGACTGCAGTGTAATGATATGATAGCTATTCGTAAGAATTTACTACATACTATATATAATCAATATATTAAATTTTAGAAGAGATTTGCCGTCGCCATCATTTGATAGTATTAAGAAACACCGTGCAAGATACAGGAAAACATCTAGAAGGAACATCATTAGGTGAACTACTTAATACATGGAAAAATAAGGTATCTAATAATATGAAATTATCATTTAATTTGAACATTGACAATATTTCTTAGAACTTAACGTGTTTCTTTAGAACTGACAATTGACAAGTACGATTTGATTAGATAAACTAAATTACGACCGAACGTTCTATTTAAACAAAAATTTTCATAGACTTCTTCCGTTTGATTATAAATTCTATTTATTATTGACTGATTTAAAAACAAACCTATCCCACGGGAACCGTACATTTTTCCGGGATTAAAGTGAACCTATGTGATATTCCAGACTATAATCTATCTCTGTGCCTTTCATCCAGATCCTTTCAATCATTCTAGCGTGAAAGAGTAACAAACATCTATCTATCCATCCTCACAAACTTTCACATTTTATTAGTATGGATTAGTGTCGATTAATAGGGATAAACAGTTTTTGGATATAAAAATTTTAAAATGCTCATGCTTATTATAAGATTAAATAGTATTAAATAACATCTACTTTTACCAGGTAGTTTCAATGATAAAAGTTGCGGAGAAAGATAGCAGACCAAAGCCGAAAATATTCAGAAATATAGTCAAAAATATTCTTAAGGATTTGGTTACAACTTACGGCTCCGTAGAGCATTATAGAAGAAGTAATGTTGAATACGCATTACCAGATTTTTTGAGTATTGCCCAAAGCATCATGGAAACTGTTAAAACTTGTGGGAAATAAATAAAAATTAAAGATAGATTGATATATTTTTTCAAAAAAAAATTATATATCGAAATAAGATAAACATAATGTCTTTTTCAATCAGTTGTAGGTACTGTTCTTACGACTCGATTTTTCCGCTCTTATTCTTTGGTGTAGAAACTTTTCTGATAAATAATAATTGTTTCATACCTGTCTTATTAATATTATAAATACAAGATTGTGTATATTGAGTTGGAAAGTGTGCCATTTTCCAACTATGTACTTACTACTTTTTGCTTGAGTATCACTTGACTCTCACGTGATATTTGAATGCTTAAAATCAAAAAAGTTACTGAAAAACGCGCAAGGTAAGGCAAGAATAAAACAATCGTATGGCTAGTGTTATATTTATGTTCTTTACAGGTTCTTACTTCTTTTGTTTATCTATTTTTATTCTTTTATTTATTTTTTATAAGATCCATATTTACGAAATATATGAATAAATGTTTGTAATGTATTTACGAATAAATGTAGAGTTTGGTGATTTTTATTTGTAAATCATTTCGTTTAATGATTTTCATAATAAATTTGAAATATTTGTGGATAAAAAATCGTGAAAAATTAAATTATATCGATAAAATATCTTCAGTTAATTCTTTTATACAAAACCTTGCTACTGGAGAGTTACTCACATTTATTTTTTAAAAGTGTTAGACAAATTATCAGGTACAAACAGCCATCTTATATATAATTGAACTAGGATAATTAATAATTGTAATATCATGCAATTGTATATCTTAAGACCTGATAATATTTTGAGTTGCATATGGTTTTTTATATTTACGTCTATGTTCCTTCAATCTACCTTATCAATGGCTTGAGTTTAACGATTATTTTGATTGTATTGTGGGCATAAAGGTTTATAATCGTCCTATAAGAATTGGTGTCTATATATCAAAAGTTTCTAGACTTTCATCTGCGAACCCATTACAGCCTTATTGGAGAGAACACGTTGAAGCAATACACACATCTTATATTTATAAATATTTTAATGAATCTAAAACTGAAAATGTGACTAGTATAGCTGGAAATCAATCATACAAAGATAGGATAGAGCTTGGGTAAATGTTGGTTTTAACCCTTCACATAGCACGATTCACGATATTATGATCCTTAATAATTTTGATAAAAACCTGAACATTAAGTACATATAAATATAAATATGTTGGGACATTAACACACAACACTATCTAGTTCCATGGTAAGCTACGAGGCTTGGGTTATGGATACCAGGTAGTTGATACACTACACGTATATAACTTTAAATACATACATATTATAAATATAAACACCCATGACTGGAGTACAAACTTCGTTATCACACAAATAAATGCCTCCAGCGGGACTCGAACCCGCGACCGCCGCGCCGGCACAGAAAGTAGGGCCACTACAAACTGAGCCAAACGTGTCACTTCGCCCCTAACTTTGGAGCTGGATGGTACTTTGCGGGCTTCGAATACGTTGACAAAGAGCATGTTAAAAACAATGTAATTTTACTTTGACAAAAAACCGTAAAACAATACAAGTTTTTACAGATTTAAGAACTTATTCAAGAAAATATTATGGGGATATTTGGTATGCGTAACTTATAAAGAGTCAATACCTTAGGACTATTAAATTGTTAGCCTTAATTAGAAATATATATGGAGCCATATTAGTTGATAATTTATTTAAATAATACTTACATTATATAATTAATATTAGATTAATAACTTTAACGACGTAAAATAAATTATTTTCATTTTTTTGTATTAATTATATAATTATATTAAATATTTATATTCTTTATAATAATCCCTTATAAAAACCCAAAAACAAAAGTAATATTAAAACAAAAAAGCCAACGTCACACGGTGTTCCCAGGCGGTCACCCATCCAAGTACTAACCGCGCCCGATGTTGCTTAACTTCGGTGATCGGACGAGAACCGGTGTATTCAACGTGGTATGGACGTTGGCGACAGAACATATCAAACGGTTGTGCCCTTAGTCACTGTAAGCTTCAGTAAAAGCAACAAAACAGCAAAAAAAAAACAAAGCCGTCGCAGGACGCCTGGAAGATGTGAAACATCGATATTATTTTGTATAGAAAATATGCATGACAAGATGGTTTTTAAAGGCAGTTAATACGACGTAACTAAAAACAAAATATTCAGATGTATTTTAAAGACAAAAATCTCTATTTAAAAAAATGAGCAGTCATGAGAACTGCCAACAGAAGTGAAAACTTAAAACTATAAACAAACACTTGTTGTTTTTGGATATTCAAATTAATTGTCTGATCTTAAATTAAAATTTGTAAATTAAAACTGTTTACATTTATCTTGTTTTGACATCTATCGGCACTCTGAGTGTTAGCGTTAACACGTCATCTGACATGTCGATGACGACTTACATGAATTTACTCCCCATCCAAATCTACCTATAGAAGTTTTCACTTCAAAAAAATACAAAGTGTGTATACTTGCGGCAAACGCGTCAAGTATACTGTAGTAGTCGAATAGAAACATTACGCAGCTCACACAGAGAAGCAACAAAGTGTATAATATTCGCGCGCGCACACACAAGGCACTCGAGGCCGGTCGCGCAGAAGTATAGATCATGCCGTTTCCCGTCACGCATACGAGTCGGTTTTACTGCCAAGGCGCACCAATAGATGTTTCACATCAAAAAACTGGAAATAAACAGCCAACGTCACGCGGTGTTCCCAGGCGGTCACCCATCCAAGTACTGACCGCGCCCGATGTTGCTTAACTTCGGTGATCGGACGAGAACCGGTGTATTCAACGTGGTATGGACGTTGGCGACAGTACATATGAAACGGTCGTGCTGTTAGAGAGTCACTGTTATCTTCAGTGATAGCAAAAGAATAAAAAAAACAAAAAGCCAACGTCACGCGGTGTTCCCAGGCGGTCACCCATCCAAGTACTGACCGCGCCCGATGTTGCTTAACTTCGGTGATCGGACGAGAACCGGTGTATTCAACGTGGTATGGACGTTGGCGACAGAACATATCAAACGGTCGTGCGCTTATTCACTGTAAGCTACAGTGGAAGCAACAAAACTTCAAAAAAATACTGGAAACAAAAAGCCAAAGTCACACGTTGTTCCCAGGCGGTCATTCAGCCAGTAAGTACCGATAAAGTAAATAAATGAATCATTTTAAATTATAACTCTTACGAAACACAGAACATATGATCAAGCTGGGCTTCTACAACTCCATTTTCATTCGATTTATCTGAACAGCACGAACAATCTAGTTACTTCAAACACACGAATGCATTGTATTTTTTCAGCTTTAAAATTGTAAAAGTAAATAAATCATTAACTTATTATTATTAATAATTATTTAAGTAATTATTACTAGAATTATTATCATTTAATGTATTATCTATTAATGAGTCACTTACACTACATAAGGGTATGTGGCGTTCGTTCCATATCAGTCGTTTGTGAGACGCGGACGGAACATGGCAGGTAAGTGATTAGATAACTGATAAGATTAAAATAGATATCAACCATTTTCATTTTAAAAAAAGCAATGGCCTTTTTGTCTCTATATAATTTTACATATTATTTAAAGTAATTAAAATATTATGTCGTCATGACAATTGGTTTATTTTATTTAAAACTTGGTGTATTTTATATATTTTGGAATTTGTGATATTTTGTATAATAAGTGATTACGATAAGAGAAGGTCGATTTTTTTATAAAAAAATCTTAGATTAAAAGACTGACATGCTTTATAGGTACCATTAACGCAAATTCTAACTAAAAACTATGATAAATTCCAGAATGTTTCAAAAGATTTCTACATAGAATATACATATTTCAACTCTACAATAATATATTAACATAAATATAATTGAATAGTGCATCATTTGTTATGTTAATTTGCGTTTTGTCTCCATAAAGATGGTAAATAAGACTTGTAATCCACAAAGATAAGTAGCTGCATACTCTCCAGACAACAAAAATGAAGTAGATATATGTACCTAATAGTTTCTTAGATTTACGCGAATATTTGACATTTTAAATAAAACTATCCTTTTGGATTTTTTCGCGGATTCATATCGATTTTTAGTTCCCGACGTTTCGTAGATATACCTAATAAAGAAAAAGATGCCAATAATTTAAAGAAACAAGCACAGTTGTGATAAGAATAATGTTCCAATAGCTTAGTTCCAGAAATTTCATTTATCGTAAAATTATACGTAGGTACCTATATCCTGATAAATTATAAAATTTTTAGTGATACAAAAAAATCATTTGTGATATTATTAAATAGTACATATTTGTATGTATTTTGTCTTCTATACCTATACAAAATGGTATGTTACATATTTTCAGCAATATTAACTTTGACTATGGAGACATCGTTATATTAATATACTAGCGTTTTCCTGCGGCTCCGCCCATACATATCATATACTAAAACCTTCTCCGAAACACGCTGTAGCTTATGGTATAAGTACGAGTATTATTCCGATCGGTTCAGTAGTTATCGCAGTAAAAACCGAACAAAAAAATCGGCTCTCCATTTATTAGTATAGATATGTCAAATTGTACTGAAAATAAGGTCTAAATCTTTTATCATGTAATGTACTTTAAAATTATCTAATCATTTAATTTTTTTTGCAAAGTAATATTTAATCAAAAATGTCATTAAGCGGTTTGCCTAATATTACACTTGTGGTTTAACGGTTAATATCTAATATACGAGTACGTGTTTTTAACGTAATTGATATAGAATTTAGCGAATTATAAAAGCCTCATCTATACATATAATAAAATTGTAACTAAGCCGAATCTGTACATTAGATATTTTTTGGGAAATCTTATTGAAATAAACATTATTATGGATACAGAGGCCGAATCTATAGTTTTTAAAATTTTTGTCTTGTGAGAGAAAACCACTGGACAGATTTTGATGAAATTAGGTATGATAATAGCTGGTTATCCGGGTCAACATATAGGATACTTTTTACTGCGGGAAAATATCTCCTTTCTGAGAAAAAATATAAAAACTGCAATGTAAGAGTATACTAATATGTATAAACTAAGAATTTGGTTTTTGGTCATCTGAACACGGGCGGAGCCGCGGGCAATGCTAGTCAAATTAATAAAATTCAACAATTTCAAACCAATTCTACATGTAATACTTTTTATTTTTATCTCTATAGATAGATATCTATGTAAGTATATAAAAGACCAAATTTTTTTTTTGTTTTTTTTTTCTCTTCTCTAGATTAGATTAAGATTATTTCAAATATACATCAATTCTAACAAGTTTTTTAAAATTGCTTGTTATTATGTAACTTTAATGTCTGACTTACTCTACCGTCTACGTCGAATGTCGCAGGTTCGAGTCGATTTTGTTTTACCTTTACTTAGTCTCGCAAGTATATATTTTATAGTATTAGAAATATATATATATCTATTATTAGTTATGTGACAAGTATCCATTAAAGGTAATCCGTTTCGCTATCGTATTTATTGTTAAGCGTGTCGTCTGAGAATTTTTTTCAACACATAAAATACGAAAAACACAAAAAATAAACTATATTTTTTAATTTACACCTCATATCTGCAAAATGTAATAAAGATCTGTAATAATTTAGAAATGAAAATTAGTTTCTCATATTATATTTAAAAAGATAAAGTTACAATATTGTTTCTTGCTAGTGACGAAATGTAAGTGAAGTAATGACAAATTAGAAAGATTACTTTTAAATGATAAAGTAACAATAATAGCGCTGACATATCAGATTAAAGTCTTATTATGAAACAAATATTGATTATTTTTTATAATAGATTACATTCTTTTTAAATTAAATATGAATATCAATTATTAAAATATAAATTTTATTAACTTCATTCATATCGCTTTATTTGTCCAGCTCAATATACCTAAATGCTCAATACACAAATATACCAATATATTTTATATTATAATATTTTATAGTTGAAGTAATTTTACCCAAATTTGTATTACACAGACAAATATTACGGTCATGGAGGCATGCCTCCACCCATGCACGGCTACCCACCCGGTCCACCAGGGTCCGGCCATCCGCCCCATATGTCGTACCCCTACGGCCCAGGGGTCGTCTTCTACCCAGTCCACCCTGCTTACTTCTATCCTCCTCATGGCTATCCCCACCCCCCTGGCTATCCTCCTCCCCCCGCCGAAATAGTTGATTCTGAACCAGCCGAAGGAGTTCCGGAATTACCCGGAGAGACAGTCGAACTGCCCTGGAGTAAGTCTAACCGGGTTATGGGAACGATCACGTAAACTTTATATCAATTTTTATATTATTTTCATACTAAATGGTTTCATACCAAATGTTACGGGATCGTTTTAATTCTAAATTATGTGAAGAGATAACTCCTTGCTTACTCAGAATATCAAATGGCATAATATATTAATCATTGACTGTAGAGCTTGTCTTCATTTATTACATATATATATATATATATATATATATATATATATATATATATATATACATACATTTTATAATAAATTTTTTTGCCTTTATCATTATTTATCAAGTTTCTATATTAATTCTTTTATCTTGGCAAAGCTTATCTTATCCATTAAAGAGGTCTTGTAAATATATTTTTCAACAAAGAAAATTTTATTTTCGTAAAAACTTCATTGTTGCTATATATTGTATATACGTAAATACTTTTTTTATTTTATTATATATACATATTTTTTGATTTTATACAAATTATTTATTATACAATCCACGGTCAAGATGATATCTCTTCACATTTTTTAGGTTTCGTCTGCCGATGTTGGGCCAATCCTCTCTATGGTTCCTAAACTCCTTCCTTCCCCTATATACCCATTTTATTTCTATATATTGATTTATAATGATGCATTATCTTTCCAGGCTAGAATAAAATAAACCATATAGAGTTTTGGCCATTGCTTCCTGTGTTGTTAAAAATTACTCACTATTATTCATTCACTTTCGATAAAATGATCACCGCATTTTTCGTCAATAACACACTAAAAAACTATAGATAAAAATTAAATATTGGGAAATATGTGATAAAAACTGATATGTTTAGTGATATGGATGTTATCGATCCGTTGGAAAATATGTAACACTGATTCAAATTAACAATGTAATATTTTTTTAGGCATCTATTCATATGATATAATTATGAAAGGTTTTATCAGCGCTCCAATATTATATTGTATTCGTACTTTGCAGGTACATACCGTTGGGTTCCCGCTTGTTTAAGCCAGAGGAGTATCCCCATGGGAGCTCTTCGCGTAGGCACCGATGCTGATGGAGAAGAAATCTACGCAGGTAGAGCACATCATGAAGGAGACATTCTCCCAGCAAAAGTAATTCCTACTAAAAATGCGTGCTACATCGCATATGGTGGTGAAGAAGTTCTGAAAGACCAGTTTGAGGTAAATATGAGCTTTACTTGCTTTTATGGCTTTTTAATTAAAAAAATGTTAATACAAACTTAAAACAAAATTTCGTCGTCTCATTTAGAAGAAATATATTTTGTTCTTGATTAAATTTATGTGTACTTTCTAATGATTTTTGGTGCTGTATCAATGGAACTCAGTAATAAGACATGACTATAATTAATAAAGTTTCTCAAAATTAGTAAACTTACTGATTAGGTTCTTCAAGTTGACTAAAGCTTTTAAACTTTCCTTTTCAGGTTCTAGTTCCCGCTATGTTCTCATGGCAGTTCTCTACTGGAGGAGAAGTTCCCCCCGGCGCAGTGGAGGCTGGCGTCACTGCTGATGGAGAGAAATTGTACTTCGGCAGAGTCAATCATGATGGATGTGTTACTCCTGGAAAGGTACTTCTATATATATTTTTGACGACACGTTTGGCTCAGTTTGTAGTGACCGTACTTGCTGCGCCAGCGGTCGCGGGTTTAAGTCCCGCCGGGGGCATTTATTTGTGTGATGAGCACGAATGTTTGTACTCCAGTCATGGGTGTTTATATTTATAAAGTTATATATGTGAAGTGTATCAATTATTTGGTATCCATAACACAAACCTTGTAGCTTACCATGGAACTAGATGGTTCTGTGTGTTAATGTCCCAACATATATATTTATTTATTATTTGTATTAAATGGGACGTAAAGTTCAGTTCGCACTTGACATTGTTAGTTAAAACATAAGACTAAACTAAAGACCGCAAAGATTCAACAGGCAAATACTAAATACTATTGTTGAAACTTTTCCACTCAATACTTTTTACCTAATTTTAAGGAGTTATAGTGGCGGCAACTTTCAAAAAAAGCAACCAATTACTTACTTGTCTTAATAAAAATTTTCACTGCTTTCTCTATACTTCCAGATCCACCCATCGCACGGCACTTGTTATTATCCATTCGACGGCGAAGAGAGGTCTTCTGCGGAGTACGAATGTCTCGTGCTTATGTAAAACTACTCGTAGACTCTAGTGTAAACATATTGCAGGGATGCTTTAGGAAGTAAAATAGTATTTTTCATCAATATTAAGTGAAGTCATTAATTTATAAGAACGTATTTAGCTTCAAAGTCATATTAGTCTTAGATTCTTGCCATTTTATGTATTACAAATATATTTAAATGTATTTATTGTAATTAATTGGATTAAATGCTTATTAAAAACTTAGCATATCCAAGGCAAAATGATTTATTTATATATACTCGTAGTAATAAAACATATTTTTCATATACTGTTTTTTTAGTCGTACCTAGAACTACTTACTACTTACATAAATAATATCATAATATATGTACCCGCACTTGGCCAGCGTGGTGGACTATGGCCTGATCCCCCTCGTATTGAAGGGAGGCCCGTGCCCAGCAGTGGGACGTTAAAAAGGGCTGAATACATATGTACATTTATACATATAATAAAATTGTATCTAAGCTGTACATTAAATATTTTTTTGGAAAATCTTATTGAAATAGACATTATTATCGATACAGAGGGCGAATATATAGCTTTTAGAATTTTTGTCTGTCTGTCTGTCTGTTACCGCATTACGGAAAAACCACTGGAGGGATTTTAATAAAATTTGGTATGATGATAGCAGGTTATCGGGGTCAACATATAGGATAAATATCTCATCTTTGAGAAATCGATACTAAACGTGTGGACGAACCTGAGCGAAGCGAGGGTGAGTTGCACTAGCGACTCAACTAACATTATATGCATAGAGGATCTAGATTGTAGCATTATAACTGCTTAATGTTAGGACTTGGCATAAACATGACAAACTTTACATTACCAGTGTCGACTACACGATATTTCCCTTGGGTGTTGAAGAATATCTGTTTTACGTCAGCAACCAGCAGAAAGATATTATGTTTTGAATCTAGGTCTTAACCTCGTAAAATGATCCTCTGTCAAAGTTTTGAATTAGTTTTCCAATTTTACAGATACCTTCTTTAAGTTGCAATCATAATTACCATTCCGATTATTCAATTACCACCATCTGATGGTAAAAAGTAAAAATCCTTTATTTAATACACCATTCAACAGATGACAAACATGGCGGCAAAAATCGGCCATTTTAATTTTATAATTTTGATATGCCCAGAACAATTAGAAGACGAATCTAACGACACCTATCAATCTAAAATGTATCAAGCCGTTTAAGCTACAAAGAGTACTAAAGAACACATACATCGAAAACCTAATCTCATTTTATCCTGAACTTTTAAGATGACGTTTCCTAGGTGATTGTAAATATTTATTTTGCCCCAAACGAATGCCGATTTAAATTATACTGCCATCGAACGCGTGACCTTCAGCGTAATAAGCTATGCCACTCATTTGAACACCAATAAATCCAAGTTTGCTGGTGCCCTGTAAGTTTTCAATAAGCAAACATGCATAATAAGCCAAGCCTGCACTGCGTAGGCGTAAGAAGTTAAGTATTGTAAATACGTTAGTCACCCGTCAATATTCATTGTAAAACGATCCTCTCTTGTGATCGCACGTATATTTTAGTTTATTATTTATAATTTAGATTTTAGTTAATTTCTATACATAAATAAATTATAATATTTCAGTGTAAATATAGTGTCATCATGAAAGCGACGATTTGCTTCGTAATATTTTGTAAGTAGAGCTCGAATTATATTTATTTATTAAATTTTATATATATTATTATTTATGTCTAAAAAGTAACAAAAATAAAAAAATAAGCTGTCATCATTAAACCCATAAAATTTTATAGATATTTTTTACTCAATAAAGAAGAATTAATAATATTTGTTTGTGTGTGTTTTTATCATTATTTTTAGATTTCAAGATTTCATTTATCAAAAATCTCTGATATATATCTATGAAACGTATTTGAAGAATATCCACCCGGAATTACAATTCCTAAAAATAGAACCATAGGTCGAATCCATACTAATATTATAAATGTGAAAGTGTGTTTGTTTGTTTGTTTGTTTGTTTGTTTGTTTGTTTGTTTGTTTGTTTGTCCTTCTTTCACGTCAAAATGGAGTGACAGATTGGCGTGATTTTTTGTGTGGAGGTTAAAGTTGGATGGCTGGGGAGTGACATAGGCTACTTTTTACCGCGGAAAATTATCTAATTCTCACGGGAAAAAAAACGTTATAATACAATCCAAAAAAATATTTATGATTAGAATTACTTGAAACTCGGCATTAAAGTTCTTTAATAAAATATATAAATACGTGTTTTAGCATTCTTCAAAATTCATCCTATAAGGGGGTAAAATAGGGGATGAAAGTTGGTATGTAACAAACTTTTTAGATTTTTTTGTAGTTTTGGCGCGAGTGAAGCCGCGGGTTCTGCTAGTATAATTTATAACTTCGTATTTAGAGCATATATTTTTCTTTTATATATTGCGTAAAAGACAAACAGTAACAATAACAACATTTACTACATTATTTTTTACATGAATGCTCCATATTTTTATATATTAACGTATGTATCTAACTGTAAATAAAATTCTAATAATATCGTATATTAGGTATAAAGTAGCACTTTATCAAATGCTCTTTTATGCTAAACAAATGATTGTATTCAGAGAGAATATTTATTACTATTAATCTATGAAAATTTTAAACTTTTGAAAAGTCAGTGTAAGTTAAAATATAATGAAAGAGGCGTTAAGTTTATTAACAACAACTAGACGCCACGAACATTATGACAAGCTCTTATTATTGTAAGGAATTCAAATCAAATATCTTGAAACTTCAAAATTAAAACTCCCTAATTAGTCATCTATACATATAATTAAATTGTAACTAAGCCGAATCTGTACATTAAATATTTTTTGGAAAATCTTATTGAAGTAGACATTATTATCGATACAGAAGCCGAATCTATAGTTTTTAGAATTTTTGTCTGTCTGTCTGTCCGTCCATCCGTCCGTCCATCCGTCTGTCTGTCTGTTACCGCATCACAGAAAAACCACTGGAGGGATTTTGATAAAATTTCGTATGATGATAGCTGTTTATCCGGGTCAACATATAGGGTACTTTTTACCGCGGAAAAATATCTCATTTCTGAGAAAAAATACAAAAACTGCATTGTAAGAGTATACTAATATGTAAAACCTAAGAATTTGCTTTTTGATCACCTGAACGCGGGTGGAGCCGCGGGCAATGCTAGTCGTACCTATAAAATGTTAATTTCCCTTACAAAATTTCACTGTAGGTCAATATCAGTCACAGTACTCGATTAATATGTATAATTCAGTTTAATTTATACAAAATACCTAAGTTTGTACCATAATGTATAATTAAACGGTGATTTTAAATATTTTTTAAAGTAATTGAATCCGATTACGTGTTGTTACATCGAATTATTTTTTTCGACAATTTAATAAAGTATCTTAATTTACTATGTAATCGTATTATGACAATTTATATAGGTACAATTCAAGCGCGCTTATGAGATCTCGCTCTTAAAATAATATTATCTTGACTGACTTCACTGAAATCAGCAATTTAATATACTCTGAATTTGTTACTTGAAGTTGAGAAAGTGAAGTTGAGTTACTGAGAATTTCTTAACTAAACCTGGTTTGACCCGGAATCCGAACCCAGGACTTCTAAATGTAGCTAGACAAAAAATATCAAGAGAAAAATCGGTTCTTAATACTTATATACTGTATTTAGCGTCTAATATATTATATATTATACATATATGTATGTATATCCTCCAATAAGCCCCAGTTGTGTCGTGTGCATTGACTTAAAACTTCGCAGGCGCATTTAAATACACGAAGTACTCGTACATAGAAAAAAATTAGTAAGAATTTTTGATAACTCGCCATTCCACATTTATTGAATGGGAATTTTTTCACACCAACTTTGTCTTTTCTTAATACGGCAAGAAATTGAAATTCCAAACATTCTTTTAATTCAATTTTATTTTATGGCTTTTATCGAGTTTCATATTTTTCTAAGGTCACTTCTAAATGTTGGAAAGTCATAAATTGAACCTTACAACTTCTTAAGTACCTGCTTTAGAAATGTTTGGATGCCAGCAACAGATATAATATCTCCTATATAAAGAAATACTTTATTATAACTAACATTCATAACGTAATGCACTAGGTCAGGGATATAAAATATCACAGTGTCGTATGTCTCTACATTTAAAGTAAATATAACTATATGAATTATTTATTAGAGCCGTATCAAGTAACGTGTAATTCGAATAAGTTATTTCCAATTCTGCGTAAAACCTAACCTAGATGTTTATTATAATGTCACAGTTATTATTTAAGATTACTTAATTTGTACAAGAACGGTAATGATATAAAAGTTGGCTTTAATATTAAAGACCTAGGTATATAATTCGATTTGCAGAATGTTTGATTCCTCGCAGCTGTTGAAGCTAAATTCCACTATATTTATGTAGTGGAATATATCTTATGTCCATTTTCACTTTGCGATATATATATATATATATATATATATATATATATATATAAGGAATACGGCAGTTCTTTCATCATCTGTTTGAACACTTTTTCATTTTTAGGACTGTTTTTTTTTAACAATTTGCAAAATATTATTATAATTTCTTGTTATTCGGGTTCCAGTCAATTTACTATGCGGAGGCTGTTACGTGAATTTTGATAATTCCCCTATCTTTATTCTAAAGGAAGTCGCGGGTGTGTTTAGAATTTTATATACACAGGTATCTTAACATACTATATAGATATAAATTTAAACTACTCAGTAATTTCGAATACTATACAGTAATCATGAATGTCGGGAACCAAAAATCAAAATAAATCCGCAAAAATATCTAGAAAGAGATATTAATAATAATAAAAATAAGTAGTAAACGTTTGTTTCTAGAGCGGCTTATTCGTTCAAGTAATAACATATTTATCAGTAAATTTTATACCGTATTAATGGTTTTTACCAAAGGTCGTGGGTTCATAAATCGCACCAGCAGACCTATTGGGGTTTTAATGAAGGAATATTGTTGTCCGAAGAGATTGAGATCAGTGTTGGTATATGAATAGCTGAACTCTAGATATGTATATGCGCAATATTTAAGTGTTATTACGTAATGCTTTTAATTGATCGTTTTAATCTTCAAATTACACGCTTAGCTTCTAATAATCGTCTACTGTTGTAATTATAAATTACTAATAATCAAACATATCGAAACATTTAATTATTGAGAAATAAACTTAATTTAGAGGTAGTACCTCTAATGTCAGTGGTAACTGCTCGCTGGGCAAACCGAGTGAAGCGGGTTCAAATCCCGGGTCTCGCACCTCTGATATTTTCATGTGCTCATCATTTTTAATATGATTACCACTTGTCTTACGGTGAAGTAAAACATCGTGAGGAAATCTGCATGTTTGAGAGAACCTAACTAGTTTTCGAAAGACATGTGAAGTCGACCAACCAGCACTTGGTCTGCGGATGGTAGCTTGTTCCCCCTCATATTAAAGTAAATGACCCGTGTCCAGTAGTGGGACGTTGAAAAAGGGGCTAAATTAATTTTAAAATCAACTAGGTATATCATTTACTCTATCTCTATTTTAACATCATACACAAACATGACTACAATATTCTATTACTTATATATTTTTTAATATTTAAAAGATAAATAATGGAAAAAAAAACATTTTTTTTTTTGTAAAAGATTTCATGAGAATATTCAGTTAAAATGTCTCAAGTTCCTATATACTAATTGTTTGATTAAGTAATAAATTTGATAAAAATATCTATATATCTAGGCCTTAGGAAAGGGGCAGGACTTACTTGGTTACTGCACTGCACTTTCACTGCACTTTTTTAGGTTTTTTGTAATTATATTGCGGACGCGTACACGCTGCTCTTGAAGTCGTTTTTAGAAGCAGGTTTTTTGAACTCTGACACTAGAGGCGCTTGCATCGGTGACATTATGTGTCAATGCTGTGCGCGCGATGTATAGACAAGTGTGGAAAAAAAGGGGCGGGAAAAGGATAGGCCTATTTTAAAACCCAACATTTACCCCCTACCGGAAATCGAATATGTACGAGATTTCCCAGTTACCATACCAGGCATGGTATAGTGTCAATGTGAAGTTATTTGAAGAGTTATTGAAATTAAATGCGATCGAAATATGTGTAAAATGTATAAGAGTGATATTGAACTATGTAAATGAGTAGTGATATTGAAATAAGTAAATGAGTAGTGGACTGTATTATTTTTAATCTAAAGTTTGCTTAAATGACTAAATTATTGTTTAAAAAAAAGAAATTTTATTGAGTATCTGTTGGAAGTGGACTCAACTTCACAACAGGGCGAATAAATTCACCGGTGCGAGTACGAACGCTCACCACACGGACTACTCCGTCTGGTCCGGGATAGAGCTTCGTGACTCGACCGAGAGGCCATTGCAACGGCGGAGATTCAGAGTGTAGCAAAACAAGGTCTCCCACTTGAATATTACGACTCTTGGTTTGCCACTTCGCTCGTTGTTGTAGAGTATGAAGATACTCTTTACGCCAAAGATGCCAAAACTGTTGAGAGGCTTGCTGCACCATCTGCCAACGCGTTAGTCTATTGATCGGTTCGTCCGTTAAAGAGTATTCAGGTACAGCTAATAATTCACGACCTACGAGG